CAGGCACAGCACTCCTTCGCCAGGGCCTCAAGACGGACGCGGGCGGCGGTGCAGGCAGCGGGGGCGCCGCGGCCGGGCAGAGGCCTTCCTTCTCTATAGACCACATAATGGGCCACGGTGGCGGCGGGGCAGCACCCCCGGGCGGAGGCGAGGGCTCCCCAGGATCGCCTTTCTCAGCGGCCGCGGGTCCTGGGGGTCAAGCCCAGGTCTTGGCCATGCTGACTGCTCCGGCCCTGGCTCCAGTGGCCGGCCACATCCGCCTCTCGCACCACGGGGACGCGCTCCTGCCCTCAGGGCCCCCGTTTGCCAGCAAAGTTGCTGGCCTCAGTGGTTGCCACTTCTGACCTTGTCGGGTTCTGGGCCACTTAAACCCGCACTCCTCAGTCTCTCCTGGGAGCTCCTGCGGTCCCAGCGGAGCTCCGGGAGTCTATTTATGAAGAGTCTCCAGATCTTGGGCCGGCGCGCGTGACTTGGCACTTCAGACTCCACGCTTAGAATCTCTCCGATAGTTGGGACGAAGCGGGCTCCATCGCTCAGGGAGAGGCCCTGCTCTATGCGACGAGGTCGCTAGCCATGATCCAATTCCAGTTTGAGCAGTAAAAGGGGGAGGGGGAAGTCTTCGCTTTTTCCCAGTCTCTGCGCCTCTCGGCAGCTGCCCCGGAAGAATGCTTTCTCGGAGAGATGCCTGCCCAGGCCCTGCAGATCCCGCCAGCAACACCAAATGCGCAGAGGTCTCCCTTTCTGCCTCTCCCTCACTCCTTCCCCAACTTTGAGGCCCTGATTTCCAATATTTTAATTTAAAGACACCTATTATCTGCTTTGTGCTTAAAAGAAAAATTCACCCCCCCCCGCTTTTCTCCAAGGAAGTTCGTTCTCTTGGAAGCCTAAAGCAGTGTCTACACAAACGAAGCTGAACGGAGAGGTGAAGCAAGGGGTCTCCACAATCCCTTCGCAAACCCGGGATCCCAGTCCTTTGAGGAAAATCCTCCCTCTTTTGTGTTGGGTGCTTTTGAAGGAACTTTCCCCCTTCCCCGTGGCCGGCTGGGTCCAGCCATCCAGGGCCTGCAGCCCTCTCAGGGGTCTGCTCTGTCCCAGGCCCTGGGATATTTATTGTAGCTAAAGGCAATGAGGTCGGGGTGGGAGAGGAGGGTCTGGGTCAGGGACTGGAAAGGTGGGGGTGGGGTGGGCCAGGGCACATCCTGTGGCAGGGGGTCCTGTAATTATGTGTAAATATCTGTACAGCGGGCTGCTATCTGCGTTCTCTGTCCTGGGTGTGCATTGATTTAGACTTCTCCGCTTGGGGAGACTCTGTGAAATCATCTGATGGTTTGTGTGGAAGAAAAGAAAGACCTGTCTCTCCCTACCCCCATCGGTGTCAATTGAATAAATGTACATTAACTCCAGCAGTCACCAGCTCTCTCTGCTTGCCTGTACTCCACTTCCCCAGCTCGGGCTCTCCCAGAAGACCCCCAGCTCCTAGGCAGAGGGGAGTGAGGAAGGGCCCTGGGCAGCCCAGGCCGGCAAAGGAGGGCTTGGGCTTATCAGATACAGGGGACACTGTGGCCTTGGCCATCAGCTGTTAATAGGGCCAGGATTCTGGGAAGCCTATGGCCCCTCTGGCACTTTCATTTTCGCTCTGATCCTAGGAAGGTTTCTGCCTGGGGTTCCGCAGAGAGGTTTTGTTTCAAATGCACCTGGGGTTTCTCATCTCCTTCTAGTTTAGAATTTATCATGGCCTGGGCAGGTCTGGGTGCTCATGGACACTATACTTATTAAGTACAATTTGAATGAAGCTGTTTACTGATGTGTATTTTGTATGTGGGGGCTCTTATGGGGCTTGTGTTGTATTTGGGGGTTGTCATATATCCTTGCTTTTTCTCCTTTTTGGGGGGCATCAGTTGTATTTCAGGATATCTGTGTTTTTATTTCTATGTGTGTCTGTGAACGTGTCTCTGTGTTTTTGGTTCTGTCGTTTCTCTGTGTCTCTAAGAAGAGTTTTCTCTCTGGCCACTGTTGGACCTTCTTTGCATTTCCTCCCTTCGCAACTCCTGGCACATGGACTAGTCAGAGAGACCTAAATTGGGGACTGTGAAACCCCTCTCTTCTCCAGCCTGAGAAGCTTAGAGGTGCACCATGAGCTAAAGGAGAGAGTCAGTGCGGCACTGCTCTGTTAGAGTAAACCTCCCTAACCCATAAGCCATGCTCAGAGTCAGAACCTACTGCCTGAGTGCAAAGCCATTGGGCTATCTGGAGTCTTCCATAATCCCTGTGCCTGAAACTCCCAGTGGCTAGACTTGAAAGCATGTTGGGTGAAAGGTAATGCTTTTGGTGGGACAAAAATGGTTACTTAGCTCTTTTCTCTGTACATTCAACGTAGGTCATAGAAGAAGAGAGAAATACGGAGATGCAGAGGTGCAATTCAGCCTTCACAGAAAATAGACACATGCTATTGATGTGAGCTGAGGGTGAGCATTGGGAGAGAAGTGATAGAGAAGGAAAAAGACAGAGTCAGAGAACCAGATGTAGAGAACTTAAGAGGGGCAGGTGGGGAGAAGCAATATAAGGCTGCTTTAGCCAGATTTCCAGGCATTAGCAATAGTAGGAAAGAAGGAAGAAGAGGCAGAGGATGAGGTACCCTGATCAAAGAGGAGCAGAGTCAGGATCAGGGTAAGAAGAATGCACCAGGGCTAAGAAGAGTGGTTGGGACTCCTAAATCTTTCAACCCTTTCCCCTCTGCCAGAGGTGAGGTACCCTCTCCTCAATCTTGTTGCAAAACTTCGAGAGTGAAGAGAAATTGAATGCAGGAAGCCACCTTCCTATATTTTTATCAAATAGTCTCTGAGAAGTAAGGTTACATTCAGCTGTAAAAAGAGGGAAATGTCTGCTGATACTGGAACAGTGATCTCCTGCTGGCTGCTTCGTTGACTTCTGTTGCTGTATTTGATTTCATTTCTTTTCAATTGAAGGTTGAATATGACCATGTGTGTTTGCCAGTGCTCAGTGCAAAGTGCTCAGTGAAGCACTTTGTAGCTTACATGATCTCATTTATCATGAATATGTCACTCCCAGTTATTAGGTTAGAGCTTCAAGTAAAAGATTTATCAATTGATTTTTCCTCTAAAAGAGAGAAAATTAAGTCAGCTAGAATTCATATCTGATGGTGTAGATAGATATTTCCACAACTGTTACTTCCAGAAGCAGTGGCTCCTTTGGAATTCCTCAACATGTTTTTGTGAAAGTGTGTGTGTGTGTGTGTGTGCATATATGTGTATATGTATTTGTCTATGTTGCTTAGTGTCTATGTATGT